TGAAGGCTTGGCAACCTATACTCTTCGCGAACGTGACAGTGTTCTCGGGAACGTGATGAACACTGTCGCCCAGCACTTAAAACAGAATCAAAACGGAACTTAGGCCATAAATCCATTTTTTCAATAACCAAACGGACTAGAGGCAATTTTCAAGAGTTATTTTCTTCCCCAAAGTGTTGGTAAGTGATTCTAAATAATTTTCTTTCAATTACCCATCTCATTTCATAAATCTTCAACCTAAAATCTAGAGTTTTCATAGTAGAATTAGGGGTTTGGGTAAAAACTAGGGATTTCAAAATTTGGGGATTTAGACCTCAATTTGAGATCGGATTCCAAAACCAATTATATATCCGGGCTCGGGAGTGAATGGGTAAATGGATTTTGATCCGAACCTCGGGTTTTGACCAAGCGGGCCTGGGGTCGATTTTTGACTTTTTGGAGGAAAATTTAGGAAATCTAAATTTATGCAATATAATTGATTCCTTTAGCAATATTTGATATTATTAAGTCATTTTTGAATAGATAGTAGTAGTTTTGAGGTGGATTCTAAAGGAAAAACTGTGATTGCGTATTAAGTGGCCCTCGGAGTGAGGTAAGTATTGTGTCTAACTTTGACTTGAGGAAATTAGGAACCTCGATTTATTTGTTATGTGAAATTCATGTGAGTGACGTATATGTGAGGTGACGAGTACTTATGCGCCTCCAATTTACCTATTTTACCTTTTTTTCCCGTTTTTCTTATATTGTGCCTTTCCTATGCCTAATTGCTACGTGTTTATACTAGTGTTGTTAAATTAATCGTTCTTATCATGTTTATGGATTTCTGGTGATAATTGAGTATTTATGTCAAAGTTGAGATTGAAATTGTGGAGCTAAATGTTGAAGTAAGGCTTGTACTTGTTATTTTATCTCCCTGTTGTTATTTATGCATTGCATTATGGTAAGGGAGAGTGTTAATGCACGAAGGGTGATGTCGTACCATATATGAGTGTTAATGCATGAAGGGTAATGTTGTGTCATATTGTGAGTGTAAAAGAACGAAGGGTGATGCCGTGCCATATTGTGTGTGTTAATGCACGAAGGGTGATGTCGTGCCATATTGTGAGTGTTAAAGCACGAAGGGCGATACTGTGCCATATTGTGAGTGTTAATGCACTAAGGGTGATGTCGTGCCATATTGTAAGTGCTAATGCACGAAGGGTGATGTCGTTCCATGATATGAGAGTTAATGCACAAAGAATGATGTCGTGCCGTTTTTATTGATTTTATGGTGAGGTTAAGAGTAAAAGAACGAACGGTGATGTCATGCATTTTTTCCTTTACTGTAATCATGTTCCTATTGATTCGTAGCATATTGGTTGTTCCACTATTATTCTGCTGTAGTTCTTTATCTCGTATTTCCCCCAGTATGTTTCCCCCTCCCGATATTTCCTGTCTAGCTCTTCATTACTATTGTTTGTATATACACTGTTAAATTGTACAGGTTGATTTGTAGGTACCTTGCCTTAGCCTCGTCACTATTTCGTCGAGGTTAGGCTCGACACTTACCAGTATATGGGGTCGGTTGTACTGATACTGTACTTTGCACTTTCTGTGCAGATTTTGGTATCGGCTCGGGTTGATCGAGATTTTGCTGTTGGACCGCTATCCGGAGACTCAAGATAGATATGTCGGCATCCACACACCTTGAAGTCCCTGCTATCTTTTCTATTCCACTATTTCTTTCATTCAAATAGTTGTATTCTTTTCAGACTATTACCTGTAGTAAATTCTAGAATGCTCGTGAATTGTGACTCCAAATCCGGGTGGTAGTAATTAATGTTGTTTTTATATTATTCTGCACTCATTATATTTCACCTTAGCTAATTCGATGTTATTTACTGAATGGGATAAGAATTGGTTTAATGATTCTTTAACGTTAGCTTGCCTAGCAAGTGAAATGTTAGGCGCCATCACTGTCCCGGCGGTGGAAATTCTGGGTCATGACAAGCTGTGATAAAGAAACTCTTGTCATTGTTAACTTTCTGCCCTAATGTCTTTTCATACCTGTCAATAACCTTTTTAATGAGCTTGATAGTCATGTTGTTACCTTCACATATAATAACAATATCATCTGCATAAGCTAAATGGTTAATAATTAGCCCTCTGTGATCCATGCTAAAAGGAGTAAAGCTAATAAAATCATTCAGCTCATTGAGAGATCTGAAAAGAACCTCAGCTCCAATAATAAACAAAGAAGGGGATAGAGGGTCCCCTTATTTGAGGCCCTGAGTAGATGTGAAGAAACCAGTTCTGCCCCATTGATAATGATGGAGTACCAAACTCCCTGTAGAAGTCCCCAAATAAGGTCAATCTAATTTTCGGAGGAGCCAAATTGCCTCATTACTGCCATCAAGAAGGTCCATGAAATTCTGTCATAGGCTTTTGCCATGTCAAGATTTATAATAACATTGCCTCCTCTGTTCTTCTTGTTTACACCTTGAGCAATCTCCTGGGCCAAAAGAATGTTTTCAGTGATCAATCTACCTTTGACAAAGCCACGCTGATTCTCGGATATGAGCTTCCCTAGTATAGGATCCAGTCTTCTAGATAGCATTTTGGAGATAATCTTGGCCGTAAAGTTACTCAAACTAATAGGTCTCAAATCCGAGAAACTACTAGGAGAGTCCACTTTAGGAATAAGAGCAAGGCATGTATGAGAAAAGAACTTAGAAAGTCTTCTACCATTGAAGACATCTTGAACAAAATCAGTAATGTCATCCTTAATGATGTCCAAGCATGTGTTGAAAGAATTTTCCATTATAGCCATCCGGCCCAGCTACACTATTAGGACTCATGTTGAATACAACATCTCTAATCTCTTCAATATCAGGAATGACAGTAAGGGTTTCATTGTCATCATCATTAATATACTGAGAGATACAATTGATGATATCTTGATCCCTGGAGTGGTGTTTGATATTAAAGAACTGTTGAAAGTGGTGAACAACTGCTTTGCCAATGTTAGAATCTCCTTCAATCCATTGACCCCTGTGGTCTTTAATTCTGTGAATTTGTAATCTTCTCCTTCTATCTCTGATGGTGCTATGAAAATATTTAGTATTAGTGTCACCTTCTTCAAACTAATTCACCTTAGCTTTCTGCCCGAGAATGGCATCTTGTATCCCCAGCCATCTAATGTATTCTGCTTGGCCTTTATTCAATTCATCCCTAGAGTGATCATTACTGTTATTTAGATCACTTTGCTCAATGTCTTGCATTTTGTTTTCCCAATACTAGACTTGATCAAAGACATTGCCAATGTCTTCTTTAGACCATTGAGTCAGCCTTCTACTAAGCATTTTGAGATTTTGTTGAAGTCTCCACAAAGGGTTACCTTGAACTTGATTACTCCAAACTTCTTCTACTACCTGCAAAAAAGATGGTTGATTAGTCCAGAAATCTAGAAACTTAAAATATTTAGTCCCTTGTTGGTTAGAATCATGACATTGAATTAGAATAGGTCTATGATCAGACCCAATTCTAGCCAAGTGATTGACTGTGTTGTTTTGAAAAACCTGAGACCATTGATCATTGATAAACACTATGCCAAGCCTCTTCCAGATTCTTCTTCTAGGTTCTCAATTGTTACACCATGTATACTTTGGCCCAACAAATTCCAAATCCATCACTCCACAGTTATCCATACAAGTATTAAAATCGAGACTTTTATTCATTCAATGTGGTGTGCCACCTTTTTTCTCATCGGGGTCTAGGATGACATTGAAATCACCCCCAATGTACCATGGACCATTCACCTGGAGATGAGTGCACTCTAAGCTACTTTATAGATCTCTCCTTTCTTCAGGAGTGCACTTAGCATAAACTGCTGTGATATAGAGATCACTATTAGCAGCCCCATAGTGTAATTTGATAGTAAGTTGCTGCTCATGATTGTTCAAAACAATGGTCATATTGTTACCTGACCACATGATCCAAATCTGACCATTAGTATTGGAGATATAATGATGATAGCCAAGGAATCTCCTGCACCTTTCAATTTCATTGGTACTGGCAAAAGGTTCCAGAATGGAAACAAGTTCTGCCTTATAGATGGTAATAAGTTTTTTTTAACCTTGACAAGGCTTTTTTGGTATTGACTCCTTTAATGTTCCAGAATATTGCACTTATCATGGAAAACTCAAAGAGTTAGCATGAGTTTTCTCCTTTAGGAGGTGTAATATCTTTGTTTTTGTTCTTTTTTCCTTTTTTCTTCCCCTTTTCTTTGCCTCATATGACCTGGAAAGAACCTTCATTCGATTCTATTTGAAGTTGATCATCCGGAATCATGACTGTCACCCTATTAGGGGAAGTCACTTCAATTTGTTGACTTGTAACCTTTTTTTCCTGTTTTAGATTGGATTCAAGATTGAGATCAACTACCACATCAATCCCAGGAAGGTTTCTGATCTCAGAAGGTATACTAGTTGATTCATTGACATAGTCTTTCATTGTAAGAGATTTCTTTCCTGCTTGTTTTTCCTCTTGATCTCCATTTTTATTTTGATCACCATTTTCTTGTATTGATTCCTGATAGTCTTCTTTGGCTTCACTGTGATTTGGAGTTCTAGTGTTTTCATTATTGCTTCGATTTCTAATTAATGTATCCTGACTATAAGCTTCCCCCTCTCTATTGTTGCTCGGATGCCTCTGTTTATCCTTGGTCTCAACATATTCACTTCCCTTATCTATATCTTGTAAAGCCATTGTTATCTCTTTGTTGTTCTTCTTGCCCTTGTTTGTAACTTCGACGGCTTGATAATGGGCTTGAAAATTACTTTAGCCTTCTTCTTGGGAAGTTTCTTCTGTTTGCGCTTCTTAATCTTTCTGCTGGTTCTGTCTTTGATATTACTTGATGAACTTTGTACGACATTCTCCAGTTCAGCACCATTCTTTTGGTACAATTGATTCTTTATCATATTGGCACTAGTTTGAGCATTATCTATAGCAATACCATTTTCTTATTCATCCAGTTTGTTGTCTTTTTTATTTCCTTTTGCTTCTTCATTCTGATTTGCCATATCTTTTTGAGCTTCCAATTCTCTAGCTTCAGCAGCTTTCTTCCTTTCTAGAGCTCTACAATTGATCATATTGTGACCCAACTTTTTACAAAACTTACAGTGTTTTGGAACACCTTCAAACTCTAATTTTTGAACAAAAACTTTCTGAGGAGCATTCTCGTATATTTGTCCCACATAAACAGAGTCTGGTTGGCCTTTAAGCAGGTCGATTTCGACTCTAACTTTTGTCATGCTTGGCCTCGTCCTTCCTCTAGTAGCCAAATCCATTTCAAGGGGGGTACCAATTGCACTCACCACTTGTTTAACATAGTTCCATATGTGCATATGAAAAGGTAAACCAAGAAGAAGGACCCATACCGGAGCAATAGGCATATCCTCTTTAGGTTAGAAATTAGAGGACCATTTTTGCAGCCATATCTATTGGCCCTCAATTTCAATAACCCTTCTAAACCAAACTGAGTTAAAGTCTTCTTCATTGATGAAGTCCAAAAAAATATTATAATTGTCATAAATCACGTTTTTTTGTAGAACCCTTAATCGAGATTAATTCCTTGAATTTTAACCTAATTTTGTAAATTTGTGGCCGTGGTTTGAGAAATCACCCAACCATTGTAAGCTTGCATTCTTCTGCCATAATACCGTAGTAATCCGATGCTTTGAAGAGCACCGCCGGCATCCCATTGTGAGTGGTGTGAGTAGCAACAACTGAATCTCTGCCATGGCGATTTGGGGGAATCGGCACATTCGAGGAAGTGATGACTTTTGTAGCATAAGACAACTTTCCATCTGTAAACTCAGTAGACTGGTTCGCCGATAAATTTGGGGTTGATTAACCTTCTAGACGCGTCGGAGCGGCGCCGTCCGGCGGTTCCATTGACTGGAGCGTGTGGTGGAATCGCAGTTAGAAAATAGCCGTTATGGGCCTGTTTAGAGAGAGAAGTAGACGTTCAAATACCAAAATATTACATTTCAAGTAAGTTAATAATTCTTTTTCTACACATAGCAAGAATGCAGAACTATATTTGTATATTTTTCAAAAGACTTTTTTATAATTTGTAAACAGAGTAAGGATGCGGAATTACATATATTTTCAACAAGTTTAAGTTTTTCATTTTTCCATTGTAAGGTAATCTTCACATATATGTTTTGCAAATGCATAAATACAACGTAAAAGAGTGCTACTTGCAGTAAAAACTAATGGGATCCCATTTCACGAGATCTGGTTTAATGATAATCTAATTCTGAGAATAAAGATATTGGAATTTAGTTGTAGCCTTTTAATGAAGATAAATTCTATATAAGTAAAACTCAACTGCTTTTATATGTGTTTGGTAATTTAATAAAATTTCAACCGAGTTGCAATTTATATAACGACGAGTAATTTATAAAAGTAATTTAATTAGTAATTTATATAACTATCTTATGTATTCACTGAGTAATAAGATAGTTATACAAACGAAACACACAACAATTTTTCCAAAAGAAATTTGTCGTAATAATTATAGTTGTGGACGGATTGACATATTGATTTGTGGATATCAATGCCTTTGGTTTTTCTCTTCTACAAAAGACACACTATTTACACACCATTTGCTGATATGTTCAAGATACATTAATACCATTTCATTTTGCATGCTGAATTTAACAATGAAATGTTAATTAGTTTTGCGAGTGAAAAAAACAAAAACTTGTTTGTGATTAATGCCCTCAAACCATAGAAGATGTTCTCGATTTGAGCCATTTTCCACCTCCTTAATATGATTTTTCATCTTGTTCCAAGAAATAAAAAGAGCAGGGTTATAGTTGGATTCACTAATTCCGTCTCAATCTTCATTAAAATTATTCATCACTCATTATACAAAAATACACACAATTATAATTGATCAACAATTGCAAAATTATTATTTATTGTGTAGATAATTTCTACGTTATAATTTATGCATTGTAACTAGTTGTAAATTAAACGGCCCATAAAAGTAAATTATTGTGAAAAGACATGGTAGTAGAAAATTAAAAAATTATTACAAACAAACAAAAACTAAATACCTGATATGCATGTCGAAGTGCAAAAGATAGGAAGAATTTTAGTAGTCCCGATTTCCATTCTTTAATTTCTTGCTTTTAAAATTTTTATAATTAATAGTGCAAAATAAAGTTAGACGAGACAATTATTGCGGATAAAGATTAAAGATGCTATAACAAATGTAGTAATATCATTACATATTTTCCACGCATGGATATTTATAATATGATTTATTTTAAAATGTTAAATCAGACACCTTTTAAATTATGAATGCTATATATAGGATGAAAGAAATGAGGATTAATCCAAACAAGTTTGTTATGATATACAGGTCATATCGATATGTCAAATCTGTCTGTTTATTTACTTTTTTTTAATATTTGCATCCATTATTTTTTAAACGGCAAAGGGACAAATATACTCATCTATTTTCGAAAATGGTCTAAGAATACTCCTCGTTATACTATTGGGTTATCTATACCCCTGCAGTCATACTTTGGGTTCAAATATACCCCTCATTTAAACGGAGGGACACGTGTCATCGTCCTGTTGGTCAATTCTAATTATCTCCTAATTAATTAAAAAGACTCATTACCCATACCCGAAAAATAATTTTTATTTTTTGTAAAAACTGAAAAAAATAAAAACAAATTTTTACTAAAAACTGAAAAAAAACGAAAATATTTTTTTTTCCAATTTTTACAAAAAAACTGCTTTAAAAAAACTGAAAAATATTTTCTAAAATAATATTTTTGTAAAAACTTTAAAAAAAAACTGAAAAGTAATTTTCTAAAGCAATTTATAACTAAAAAAACTGAAATATTTTTAAGTAAAAGCTGGAAAAAAAAAATATTTATTTTTTCAGTTTTTACAAAAATATTGCTTTAGAAAATTATTTTTTAGTATTTTTTCAGTTTTTACAAAAATATTTTTCAGCTTTTGTTAAAGCAGATTTTTTGTAAAAACTGGAAAAAAAATATTTTCATTTTTTTCAATTTTTAGTAAAAAAATATTTCAGTTTTTTCCAGTTTTTACAAAAAAAACTACTTTAGAAAATTGATTTTCAGCCTTTTTTGTTTCCAGTTTTTACAAAAATATTGTTTTAGAAAATATTTTTCAGTTTTTTCTAAAACAGTTTTTTTGTAAAAACTAAAAAAAAAATATATTCGATTTTTTCAGTTTTTAGTAAAAATAATTTCAGTTTTTTTCAGTTTTTACAAAAAAAAAATATTATTTTTCGGGTATGGGTAATGAGTCTTTTTAATTAATTAGGAGATATTTAAAATTGACCAACAAGACGATGATACGTGTCCCTCCGTTTAAATGAGGGGTATATTTGAACCCAAAGTATGACTGCAGGGGTATAGAATACCCAATAGTATAACGAGGGGTATTTTTAGATCATTTTCGAAAATAGAGAGGTATATTTGGCCCTTTGCCGTTTTCTAAAATCTTAAGTCACTCTTAATATAAACAAGAGTTCCAACGGGTCATGAGATTTTGTCTAGTTATCTATCATTTAATTTTCTTCTTTATACTTAAAAAGGCGAAATACAATGGCTATTAAGTATATTAGACACCTCACACTGACATGGCAAGTTGTGTGTATTTTAGTTTGATTTGGGCGTGTGAGACTTTTATCAGATTTTCTCTCTCTTATTTTTAAATTAATTTAAATTTTGTATGTGGGTCCAACACTATATTATTATATTTTCCTCGACCTTTTTCACCGAACGAATTCAGCCATCTTCTTCTTCCTCATAAGCAACCGCCGATTTTCACTTTTCCACTTTTACACGATGAACCACCAAGGTTCAGCCATGGATAACCTTGAAGGCCACTGGATTTGGCGTCACTCTTTTAGCCTTTGGATTTTCGAGTTCTTGATTTTTCCTATAATTAATAGAGGAGAAAAATAGAAGAAATAGAGGGAGAAAAGAATGGAGTAGTGGAGCCTTCACCGGAGCAGTGGCCGGAATTTTTGCCGGAGCAGTGGCTGGAAGTTTGACTAGAGCCTTCACTGGTCTAGTTTTTGTTGTTTTTATGCAGAAAAAAGAATCAAGAATTATAGTATCAAACAATCCCATATACAAGAATAAAAAGATTTAAATCAATTCCAATCCAACCCCACCATTCAAGCAAATGAACCAACATACCATCCTCAAGATTTTAATGCCTTAATACAGCAAATAGAGAGAAGAACAGAGAAGATCCAACTAAAGCACTAAACATTGGCAATAAGAACCGGCTCCGGCATCGGGCGACGGCGCCGATTCAAGAATAGGCTGCTACGAACAGCAACAACACACGAAGGCATGCTACAAAAAGGGGAAATTGGGATTTAGTGATGATGAGCTGGACTAGTTATAAGCAAGGGAAAAAGCCTCTTTTTGTTAAATGTTTTTCCTTTTCTTTTTGTTTAATTACACGTGTCAAGTTTTTAAATACAAATTATATGTGTCTCTCTTTAATTTATTTGCTTGACATGTCATTGGCAAGTGAGATTCACCCATATGATATGTTGTATTCGGGTATTTATTTGATACATTTAAAAGTCACTTGAAATGTCAAAATGATAAAGGGATTAGTAGAGGTATTTGTCTGTTCATTGAGAACAACTTAAAGGGATTGTTTATTTATTTCGCCTATTTAAAACCATATTTTAAAAATCTTTTTAATTCACTCTTTGTATAATATAAAGTTTCACATTCTATTATTTATCATATACATAACTTACAACCATAATGTCTATTATTTATCATATACATAACTTACAACCATAATGTTTACTGAGACAAAACTCAACCTTTATTATTTAGTTTCAACTTTTCTCCTTTCACTCTATTTTGTACCATTCTCTTTTACGAAGTTATTATCTGCCTATTAAATCAGACTAAATAAGGTTTATTTTCAACCATTTACTATCCTTTTCCCTTTTATTAACAAAAACTAATTTTAGGGTTAATTCCTTGGTTTGTCCTGCAAACACGTGCCATGTGGCAAATCACAGCTCGTTTTAGTCTGAAGTTTAATATCGAAAACAAAAAATCATATTTTGATATTAATATAATTTATATTGGAAATTATATATTATTTTATATGATATTAAATAAAATAAAAAATATATCATATTGAAACTACGTGAATAAGAATATATTAAAAGTAAAATTTTAATATGGTGTATTAACCATACATGAACAAAAGTATCTAAAGATTCTATCGGTATTTTTTGCTAGAAATCCAATTGCATATAACCTTTACTAGGATGTCTTTTGTTTGACTACCGTAATGACCTGTAGGTAAAAATATTTCTCTTTAGCAAAGAAGGGAAAAATATCATAATTCTCGT